TATATATATATATATATACATATATATATACACTGTGTATATATATGTCTGTAGATCCTCCAGTACGGCCACAGTGTGCTGCGCAGTTGCATTTCTATTTATATATAAAATAAAAAACAATAAAAAAAAAACAAAAATATAATTTGTATCGGCAGAGAGAAATAAAAAATAAAAACAACAAAAAACAGCTGGGGTGTATAGGCACCTACGGCGATGCAGGGTGTACGCGTGATGCACGCCCCCGGGGCAGTTTATGTTCATTTATAAGAAATAACGAATAAAATAAATAAAATTTATTTAATAAAATAAAAATAAAACAAATAAAAACAAAAAAACAAACAAAAAAACTGCTATTTGCCGCAACAGCGTATACAACCGCCGAAGAACCGAGCGATCTTGGGGCTGAGGGTTTAGGGTTTAGGGTTTAGGGTTTAGGGTTTAGGGTTTAGGGGCCGAGGGTGTGTTAGCGGCTGCTTCTTTTTGTACTTTTATTTTATTTTAATATGCACAGAGGCAGTGTTGATTTATTTCTTCGTCAGAACCACACAACACCAGCCACTAAACCCTAAACCCTAAACCCTAAACCCTAAACCCTAAACCCTAATCCATCGGCAGTAGCCGCAGGGGCATGCAATGCAGCGTCTCGCTAGATCCTGTCCTGCTATTGGGATTGCTTCTGTGATGGGTAATTAAAATCAAGGGTTTCGTGTTTAGGGTTTAGGGTTTAGGGTTTAGGGTTTAGGGTTTAGGGTTTAGGGTTTGGGGTGCAACGGCAAATGGATGCTTTCTAGTGCGTAGCTGCCCGCAGCAAGGGGCCCCCCTTTCCTGCTCTTCATCGTCTGATGCTTTCTGCTGCTGCAGCGGCATCGGTATCTGCTGCTGCTGCTGCAGCAGCAGCAGCAGCTGTTGCTGCTGTTGCTGCAGGGCAGAAGCCCCCAGTGCGTCTTCTGCGTTCATCGCTGCTGCTGCTGCTGCTGCTGCTGCTGCTCTGGCATTTGTGTCTGTCTCCTATGTTTGCTGCTGCAGCAGCAGGACCAGCACCAGCAGCAGCAGCAGCAGCAGCAGCAGCACCAGTCGAAGAAGCAGCAGAAGCAGCAGAAGCAGGTTCAACAGCAAGAGCTACATCAGCAGCAGCAGCAGCAACAGCAGCAGCAGCAGAAGCAGGAGCAGCAGCAGCAGAAGCAGGCCAATCACCAGGTGCAGCATCAGCATCAGCAGCAGCAGCAGCAGCAGAACCAGGACAAGCATCAGCAGCAGCAGCAGCAGCAGCAGCAGCAGCAGGAGATGCAGCAGCAGCAGCAACAGAAGGAGATGATGATCAGAGATCTCCGCGTACACCCCAAGAGCCTTCTACCCCTCTCTCTCTGCCGCTGATGCAGCAGCAGCTGCTGCAGCTGCAGCAGCAGCAGAAGCAGCTGCAGCAGCAGCAGCAGGGCCTATCGGACCCCGTCTTAACCCAAATGGCCAGAAAAAGAAATGCAGTATATGGAGAAGAATTCTACCTCTGTAAGCACACATTTATTTTTTTTTTTTTTTATTTTTTTTATTTGTTTTGT